AAGGCTTTTCTCTTGCCTTCTATTTCAAACAATCTGTTCCGTTCCATGCAAGACCGGCCGGCATGCCTGTCATTCAGGAAGTGAATACAAGTGGCCTCCATGAGCTGCTGAGTTTAATGTGAAGTGCTTTTGGCTGACGCGGTCAGAGGCCACCAGTAGAAGGCGGGGGCTTCCCTTGGCTCGACGTGTGAGGCAGGCAGTTGTGTAATTTTCAAGAGGATCCGCTAGCAGCCGTTTGGGCTGCTTGGCGTGCTGAAACTGAAGTTGCAGGCCTTCTGCCCCAAGTGGTCCTCCTAAAAAGAAAAACAGAGAGAAAACAGAGGGGGAAGTGGGAGAGCAAGAAACCGCGATATACCTCTCAAAACCTGCCAGGATGAAGACATTTACTCATCCGCTGGAAGCCGCTAGCCAAAGTGCACCGCTGTGCGTTGTTTAGGAAACGACAAAGAAGCATCAGCCTAGTGGGCTCACTGCTTCTGCTGCAGGCATCTGCAAGTGTGCTATCAACTGGGATTATCCGCCATAAAGTGACAGAGCGAAGGCTAACGAAGACCACTTCTCTTTCATCGTTTGATGCAGCGCTCAACAGCTTGCGCAGCGGTGTGCCGACTTCTGCTCCCACTGCAGGGTTTGAATATTGCATTAGACGGCCGAATGCCGTGAAAGTGCTTTTATTCAAAGAGCAGCAACAGCTGCTGCAGCTACTGCTGCACTGACACCGACAAAAAGTGCCAGTGGTGGTAGCATTTCCCATTTTGCCTGCCTCAGCAACGGCCTCCCCACTCCTTTGGGAGTTTCCGAAGTACTTGGATGGGGGTAGAAAGTCCGAGACTCTCCACACATCGATCCGGCCGCCCTCAACTCCTCCTGAGAGAACCAAACACTGCACCTTGCAGCCTCTCCAACCCGAAACTTCTCAGCAGTGCGTATAGATATGCAGTTGAGGTAGCTGATATCAGTTCAGAAAAAAAGGAGATTCAACACATCACCAAGTCAACGTGAAGGCAGACCCGCAGTGACAACTAGGTCGGAGCCGCAAAACAAAACGCCTGGCCTCCAATCTTCTGCATCACGC